CGGGGGGGGGGGGGGAACAAGATGGGGTTCGTGGAAAACCAAGATGGGGTTTGTGTCTGGCTACAGCCCCTTCAACCTCCCCCCCTTCCCAACCCAACTGAGGGTCAGGGCTGCTGTGTGGTACAACCCTGAGCTTCTCCCACACGGGCCCACCCTTCCCTGGCCACCGGGGAGCCGCGCGGCCCCGTCCCCCCAGGGTGGCCGGGCAGTGGAGGCCGTTTCCCTCGCCTGCCTTACCCCCCCTTTCGGGCCCCACTTGCTGCAGCTCCTAGGAGCCAGGGAGTGACACTCATGGAAAACCATCCCCCTTCCCTTAGACCTCAGCTAGAATCAGACAAAGCCATGAAAAGGCCGGGGAAGACACACCTCAACTAATTAAGCAAACACCCCAGCCTCATCTGCATGGAAGATAGAACTCATTAGCATACAGAATGGAGAGCAGCTCTTCCAAGGCAGGAACCGCACTGAACTCTGGGATACCGAAAGCAGGGACACACGGCCTGATGGGAAATCCCTGCTCCAGATGCTAATGAACCCAGGCCTGCTCTCCCCCAAATGAGTCCTTATCAGACCAATTCTAGTAACGATCCAATTGCCGTCCAAAATACTGACACTGCCTAGTTGCATTGTGAGCGCGTCCAAGGAACATCCCCATAACCAGGGGTGACCAGTCTCTATTGTCTCTCCTCTTTCTCTTTCAACTATTGTCCTAGCCCTATAAAAACTCCTACTCTGGCCCAAGAAAACTGTTCTGATACCTGGATTTAAACTGCACCAGTTCCATTGAGACGTCTTCAGCTCCTGTCTGATCGTGCTGGGGGCTCTGCTCTGCTTGTCTCCTGCCCTCTGGACCCCCCGCATAGGTGTGTGCACGGGGTGTGCCGGGTGTGCCTAGGCACACCCTAATGCAGGGGTGGACTGGCCCTGCAGGACAGAGCCACCGGGCTCCGCACTCCTGCACCGGAGCTGGTAGGGGCGCTGCCGGAACTTACGGCCCCGCCGGAAGACCCCACTGGGCCGAGGAACCCCGGTGAGGAGACCGACAAGCTGACCACGGCTGGGAGAGGTACTGGGCTGGGGGAAGAGACGTGCTAAGCGGGGCGTGGGGGAGCAGAGCCTGGCTAGAGGTGGGACGGCAGCTGGACCGGGGCTGCGAACCCCGAGCGGCCCAGCTCCAGGTCCGGCACGTGGTCTGGAGCCAGGGCTGTGGGGACTTCTGGGGCCTGATCGCAGGAGACTCCAGCCCTGCAAACTGGAAGGCAGAAGGGAGGGGAGGGGAAGGGGGGAAAATAGGGGGAAGGGGTGGAAGAGGAAGGGGCTTATGCTGAGGGGAGGGGAGCAGGTCAGGAGAAGACAGGAGAAGGCACCAAGGGATGGGGTGGAGGAGAGACAAATGCCGGGAGGGGGGCAAGTGCAGACAATGAGGGAAAGGACAGGAGGGGAGGTGTCAGTGGGAGAGGGACAGGGTGATGCTGGGAGAGGAGAGGAGAGGGGAGGGGAAGGGCATTGGGGACTAGAGGGGGGAGAGGGAGGGTGCTGGGTGAAGGTTTGAAAGAAGGGGTGGGCATGAGAAAGGTGGTGATGGAGCAAGGCATGTGTGAGGGCACAGAGGGGCAGGAGGGGAATGGGGGCAGAGGGTGGTGAGGGGGTGGGCATCAGGGAAAAAGAGGGGGAAGGGGAGGCACCAGGAGGGTGCAGGGGTAAGGGAAGGTGTAGGTGCCAGGGGATTCTGGGGGTGAAGCAGAAGGGCAGACACCTGCAGGGGAGGGACCAGCACCAGAGGAGAGAGGCAGGGCAGGTGTGTAGAGGCAGGTGTTAGAAGAGGGGATGAGGAGGGGTAGCTCACTTGATCAGAGTGGGGCTACTGGAGGAGT